CGGGACATATTGAGAAAAAAATCACACGAGTGTATTCTTCTAATGATGTCTTTCGTATAATGGTGATTATTTAACATCATTGCGCCTTTAGAGTATTTGATTTCGTAAAACTTGAGGAAAATGCACATTATTGAGTTGTTGGACCTTTTAAAATGCAGATCACATGAGTTGTGACACTATGAGGATTTATTACAACAAATGATGGTCCATTTGACCTATTTCATACTGATACATGGTAATACTTAGAAAAATGCATATTCTGGAATACTTTTACTTCTCAAGTGTCAAATCATGTATTTGTGGATACTTGATGATTTTATATCATAGCAAGAGTTATTGTGGTTTTTGTAACCTTTTGGTTGTTTCATTGTCCCATTTAAGCATTTCACGCATAATTGTATAAATGTTCGGAAATACATATCTTTGGGTTATTGGACGTTTTTAGACACAAGTCCCATTGGTTGTGGTCTTTGTTGATTTTAAACCATGCAAAACCTTGTGTTGGGATTTGCCCAACTTTTGGTTGTTCCCATGTCTTAATTAAGCTTTGGCATCATGTGTTGTACAAATTTTTGAGAAATGCATGTTGTCATGGTTATGATGCTTTAAACCTTAGCATGAGGGTTAATTGTTCGTATTGTCAAGTAGGAATTTTTTAGATTCCAAGTGAATGTGAATGAGTAAATTCTAAAGGTTAAATGGGAACCTTAAGGTAACACTCAACTATAGTTTTGGTGTTCTATCAGAAGTTCTATTTTAGTTACTCTTTTCCATATTTGGGGTGTCACAGTTCTCATGGCTGTCAATGTTCTAGTTGAAACAGTCTTTTATTTATCTTTTGGGTCCTTTTGGTATAATTTCGACAAGCTTATACGAATATTAAATAAAGTTCAAATCATGTTATTAGCAATTCTAGTTTATAGTCCACCAAAGTCATTCAATTTAAGCCTCAGTAAATGCTAACTCATAACACCGTATAAGTTCCCTTGTGTAAAGTATTGAGCCCGTCCATATTGATAAACTATAAACACGACTTAGCCTGTTGAAACACTACTGCACCCATGGGAGGATTTAAGGAGGTATTGGGGTCCCATGTCACTAGTAAACTTGCTCGTCGTAGTGAAATTTTTGTACATCCCTTATTTAGTAGTGTTACGATAGTGATTTGTTTTGTACTACCACAATCGGAGTCAAGGACGGTTGGTTGCAAAAACTTGTTGATAAATATGCATCAAAGAGGAGCTGGATAGAAACTATATAGACAAAAACTCTTTTCTAGAAATTAACAAAGCTTATTCTAAACTTTTATGATCCACCTCACTCACACAAGTTCAGTATACATTACGGTCCATCTTTTGCACCTCCCTATGTGCTTATATAAAAACTCTTCGAGTCATAACGATTTAAGATTTTGAAACTAAGAAATCCTAGATGAACTATTAGTTTCATTTGACACCTATGTGGGACTATGGTTTCCACACTCCAACATTTAATTCAATTGCAACCTTTAAAAGATCAATTTCTAATTCACCTGCACTCTATTTTAGGCACATGATATATCAAACCGAAGATCTCACCTAGCACTACACAAAATTACACCCATCTTTCCAATTTTTGTTTGGACTAGACTTGTTTTTGGGTCCGAAATGGGTCAAAACCCACTTTTTGATAGAAAAAAACTTAGGTTACGGTACAAGAATCGTGATGTGGGGTGCAGTTTGGTGCAAGGTAACATTGCATAGCAAGGGATGATTATCTGAGAGGCGGACCTAGGACAGCGAGACCGGGTCGCCATTTTTGAGTGTGAAAACATAAATTACACCATTAAAATTATGTCAACTTTAATTTATACTACGATCATTATTTTATGTCATCAAGTGACGCAAATTCTTTAATCCGCCCAGTATTGGGACCGCTATGTGTGTACCTGGATGCCAATCGCAAGAATGTTCTTGACATATGTTAGGTAAATAGCCTCTCATACTCCTACATTCTAGAACATATTATTGTAACTTTTCCATAATTATCCAGAAATGTGACATCTAATTATCTTTTACTATTAATTAACTCTATGAATATCTAAACTTGATGGTGTTATATATACTCTAGCCTCTTTTTAATTCACTTATGGAGCTGTGCTCCTTAAAAGCATACACACACACACACACACACATATATATATATATATATATATATATATATATTATAGTTAGGTTCACGTGACACTCGTGAGATCACTTTTTTACATTTGAAATTTCACAGCAAAAGAAATCCGAACATTCATAGCAAAAACACTGTAAAGATAAAAAAAATCCGAACCTTTACAGCAAAAACACTGTGAAGGTTACCTTCACATTGTTTTCCTGTGAAGTTTCAGGCGTAAAAAAATGGTCTCACAAGTTTCATGAAAACAAGTTGGTCTCACATGATCCCAAATCTCTCTCTCTATATATATGTATACACTTTATCTTAATTTTCTGGAAAATCCTATGGATATATAATTTACCTCATACTTAGAACTACACAAACTAGTAGTTTGACTACCTTGATTGTTTGCTTGATAGCTTCGTTTATATATATGATACATATATAATATATAGGTATCATACACACACACACACACACATATATATATGTATATATATGTATAGGGTTGGGTTCACGTGAGACCAATGGTTTTTCGTGAGACCCGTGAGACCAATTTATGTTCATTGATCAAGTTTATAAGTTAATGATCTAATGGTCTAAATTGACGGTGGCAATTTTGTAATTATTGAGAAGTCTCGTGGCGTTTTGAGAATGTTTAGATTTTCAGATTGTAGATCTAATCCAAGGGTTGAGAATTGGTCTTACGGGTCTCACGAAAAACTATTGGTCTCACATGATCCCAAGTCTATATGTATATGTATTATATATATATATATATATATATATATATATATAGAGGAGCGATCAAATGAAAACCACTCCAATTTGTAAAAACCATAAAAACTACTCTCATTCGTCGATTTCATTGTTTAATCTTATGAAATTTTTTCATGAAATTGTTTAATCTTGTGAAATTGTTTCATATAATACTTTTTTTTTGATGAAGTTGTTTCATATATGGTTATGAAATTGTTTCATATACTACTTAATGAAACTGTTTCATGTATTTCTCTAAAATTAATGAAATTGTTTCATGTATTTCTCTAAAATTAAAATAGTGAAGATGATAATATCCATGATTAACATCATCCACAATAAAAATGATTAATCAACCTCTCATAATTACAAAAAAATGAACAAAATGAAAAATTATGATTAGTTGAATGAAGTTTGTACGGTTTGTACAAATTAGGTGGTTTTTATTTGAACGCTCCCCTATATAGATATATATATATATCCAGGCATGACCCAATCAAGATAATTAGCTAATGATTCTTTAATTAGGGGATACATATGCAACCATCTAATATTGTTAATATTTCTCAAAATAAACATAACTAATTTCAATAGTACTCCAAAAACGTTAATAAAATCACTACTGTGCACTTTTTAAACTTAACAATGGTAGTTTTTTTAAAGAACATGACTACTCTTTTCGCATCATAATTTTAAAATATAAACACGAATAAATTTATGACGATAATTTTATTTAAGAAGTTACAATTATTTCTTTACGATGACATAATGAAAACTTAACTACTTTTTATAACTAAGCATGATTAGTTTAAGGCCGCTACAAACATAAATGTTGGGTATTTGATAATTTGACTCCAACCCGAAAACAATCGTCATTTTATTGATTTAGAATAGTGTCATTATATATCTATCGTGCATACGTGTCATTCATCACCTGTCATTTCTATTTCTTATTTTATGTGTTTTATATTTTTATTAATATCTTATATTATGTTTATCAATTAATATTTTATGTTTTTTAATTAAAAATCGAATGTAATTAGTTTAATAAAAATTACAAATATCAAATTGGGGTTTTTTTTTTTTACTGTTGTTGTTTAAATGTTTTATAATATAAACTTGTAAAAACACGAAAATATAAAAGTGATGACCAAAAAAAGATTTTCTTAATAAAATAGTGATATTCTATTTTACACATTATAAATATTACGAACAATTTATTAAAAATAATAGTCAATTTGTTGTCAACATAATAAAAAGTGTTATAAAACATAAGAGTTTTATTTTATTTTATTTTACTTATATATAATCATATACCTAAAATGGTTTTTGATAAGATAATTAAACCTTATTAAATAAATATCGATATCATTATATCGTTAATATTAAAACCAATTCAACATGTAAATGTCATCATTTCAGAATAAATGAAAATAAGAAAACAATCGAATTTAAAAAAAAAATGAAACTTCTTTTTTGAATGTGTGAATGGTTATATTTTTTGCCATTGAAAAAAAAAAAAACAATATACAATGAATTGATGGGATTTTTATTAGAAGATTTCTAGTAACAAAAATTGTGTATATTTAAGGGGTGTTTGAGATTGTTTATTTGAAACAACTTATGTTTTTTTATAAAAGTTCTTATCAACTTATTATAAGTTAAAATGGTCAAACTTCTTTAAAACTCCTTATTACCAGTTTGACATCAATATAAAGTTGTTTATTCAAACACTCAATTAATATTATATGATCCACAATTTTGTCTCAAATCATAAATAATACCATTAGGAATAACCTATAATTAGGATAAGGAATGAAGAAAGCAGTCGACAAAGGGCAAAGTTGGTATCTTGGTTAATTAGCAAGGACAAAATAGTCTTTATTGACGAGTAAAAGACCGTCGGTATTATAACTTGAAACAAGTTTTCATAATTTTATGGAGATAATTTATACATTGTTGGAATAAGTTATGTTTTTATACGAACATAATATATATATATATATACATATATATAACTTAGTTGAAAGTATACGAAGATTAACTTGTGTAAATATTAAATTGGGAATTAAAAAATTGAGAGATGAAAATCAAACCTGACCGGCAGCGACGTTTCTAGAATGATTGTTCAAATCAGGTGAATTGTGAGAAGACATGACATTCACAGCTGTAGCGGCCATGATTGAATCATTAGAAACTTGCGGAATTCCGTCGTCTCCTCTAACATCACTAACGTTCCTCTGTAGTATCGATCTCGACAGCCACTGATTATTACCAGATTGCTGTTGGTGGTGCTGAGACGATGTTGTAGCAGCAGAATCTGAATTATTATTGTTCGTTTGTAGGTTGAGGAAGATGTTACTATTATTATTATTACCGTCACCGCCGAACTGGCCTTGTTGTCGGAGAATTGCGCTATTGAGCCAGTGGTCTTTACCGGCGGAACGGGAAGAAGATGGGGACTGAGCGGCGGATGCGAGGTGGTGATGTTCTGGTAGAATCGTTCGGAGGACGGAATTGTTGTCGGTGTCGGAGAAATGTTGTTGCAGGGCCATATCTTGGGAGATATGGTTAGGATGATACGCCATTAACTAGCTAGGATACCTGGTGGCTTGTGTAAGAATCGTTTTCGCCGGTGATGATGATGCGGCGGAGGTGGTGCAGCAGGCTTTTCGTTGTACCAATCAAGAGCGAGAAGAGAGATAGAGAGAGAGAGAGAGAGAGAGAGAGAGAGAAAAGGAGAGAGAGAGACGAATATAATAATGCGAAGAAGGTCTACATATATACGTACAGGGAGTCAATCCTAACAGTTGATTGGTAAAATTCCATATAGTTTTAACATATGCAAAATTTTAGGGATGTTTAAAATTGTTTATAAAAATAATTTATTGATTTATTTGGATAACTTATTTGTAATAAGCATTTTTGAGTGTTTAAATAAACAACTTATACCGATGTCAAATAGGTAATAAGAAGTTTTTGAAGAAGTTAAACTCTTGTAACTTATAATAAGTTGATAAATACTTTTATAAAAAAAATCGTTTTAAATAAGCAATCCCAAACACCTCCTTAATATTAATTTTAAAACATGTTTATACAATTAATTACGTATTTTTTTATTAAATTACGGAGTAAATTATAAATATGTTCGTAAGTGGTTCACAAATTTTATCCATTTTGGTCTCAAAATTAAAACAAGTATAAAGATGAGATTGTAGTTTACATCTTTATATAGGGATGGTAATGGGGCGAGGGCCCCAAAACCCGTCCCCGTCCCTCATCCCTTGTATGTGTCCCCGTCCCCGTCGGGGATTATGATCACATCCTCATCCTCGTCCCGAACGGGGATCCCCAACGGGGAAACGGGGATTTTTTTTTAAAACAAAAAATTATAAAACATCACTATTTAAACTAATATTAAAATAAGACTTAAACAAGACCAAAAGGTTTAAACTAATATTATTAAAGTTAACGTTAAACGTACTAAAACTACACGAGTAATATCCGAAAGAACCAAAACATATCAAGTAAATTTCCATACTATCTACCATAAAAAAAACACTTGTTACTCGACATCCAAATCATATGTAACTGTTTCATCAAATGATTGAGGTTCTCCATGTTTTTTATCTACAAAAAGTAAGACAAGTTAGAAAAAAAATATAATTACTTGTATGACTAAGAATTTAAATAATTTTTTACCTTGAAGTTCTTTCCGTAACCAACTTTGAGTGCACATTAATGCTCTAACTGTTTGTGGGTGTAGTCGACTATGCTGTTTTGTGACTTTGTTACCGCTCATGTTAAAAGCGGATTTAGAAGCTACTGTAGAAATTGGTATGGCAAAAACATCTCTTGCAATTCTTTGGAGCACAGGAAACTTGGAGCCATTGCATTTCCACCACATTAAGATATCAAAGTCGTCTTCATTAGGTGACAATTTTTCGGCCAAATAATCATCCAATTAACTTGTTTTCAGTACATCATCATCACACATCATAGACTCAAAATCCATCTCCCATGTAGGTTGTCAAAAGTGAAATCATTTACATCTAAGAAACTAGCGATTGATTGTCCTTTTTGTGAAGGTTTGTCGGCATACTTCTTCTTATACTCTTCAAACAACTCGACACATAGGTTACGTATCCTCATAACCTCACTTTTTGCCTCACCACCATAGATTTTCGGAAAGAAATAATTTATTAACTTCAACTTATATCTAGGATCTAATACAATTGCTACACTCATAACCTCGTGTATGACACTCCAATATTTATTGAACTTGATCAACATTAATGATGCCATTTGCTTAATAACATCATGATCAGAATTTTTCCAACTCAACAAAGGTACTTTAATTTCACAAATCAACGAGAAAAAGATGTTTGACGTATGATATAATGTTCCCGAAAACTTTTCCGTCAGACAATAAAATAACTTTAACTTTTCACAAACAATTGATGTCATTGCTCATTCATCTTCACTAGACAAGCAACACATAACTTCTCTCCTTTTTGCTCAAATGACTAAAGACGTCCTTATACTCCAAAACAACATTTAACATAAGATATACCGAATTCCACCTTATCTTGTAATCAAGAACTAATTCCTTTTCACAATTTACACTTAATTGTCGTGCACATAGTTTAAATTCTTGTACTCTCTTAGGAGAGTTTATCCAAAATGCAACACTATCCCTAACATTTTCAATAGCTCTCCCAACTATAGAAAATCCATCTTGCACAATAAGGTTAATTATATGTGCACATCATCGCATATGAAATATCTTCCCTTTTAACATTAGCGATGAAGAAGAAAGAGTACCTAAAAGCTTGTCGATTACTGCGTGATTTGTCGAGCAATTGTCAAGAGTCAAAGTTGACAGCTTGTTGTCGACATTCCAATCGAGAAGACACTCCATCATAGCTTGTGATAATGCTTCGGCCGTGTGTGGAGATGGCACGTGTATAAAGCTGCATTAAACAAAATAAGCGATTATTATCAAGAAATTAATCCACGATATAAACTAAAGATGCTACACTAGAGATTATTACCTGATGATTCGATTTTGTAAACTCCATTTGCCATCTATATAATGTGCCGTAATCGCCATGTAACCTTTCTTTTGGTTACTTGTTGTCCACATATCTGAAGTTAAGGCAATCCTACTCTCATTCTTATCCAAACACCGCAAGGTGTAACCTCTTTGTTTTTCATAAATACTCATTATGTCACTCTTTATTGTTGCTCAAGATGGTACCTTAAATAAAGGTTGGAGACCTTCTGAATATTTTCGAAAACCATAGTTCTCGACAATAGAAAGCGGATAATCATGTATAATAATCATTTTAGCTAGGTCTTCCCTACAAAGTTCAGCATTAAATGAATATTTACTCATTTTCCCCTTTCCGTCTGAAGCCTTTTGGTCCTGAACTAGGATATGTTGTCTAATATCCTTTGTAACTCTTCTTGGGCAATTCTTAAAATGGTCCTTCAAATGTGTAGTTCCGTCGTTGGCTCTACCCATCAGTTGTTTATTGCAATAATTACATCTTGCATATCGTCTAACACCATCAACATACACTTGTTCAAAATGATTCCAAACAACCGACTTTAATCTTTTTTGTGGTTGTTCATTGCTCGTGTTAGTGTTAGTCCCTACAGGACCAAAAGGCTTCAGACGTAAGTATCATCACCAGTTGTTTCTTGTTCTTTGTTTCCTTCCATCTCATTCTCATCACCATGTATGTTCTCGTTTTCCGAAGGTTGCATCTAAAATTAAAAAGTTTGTATGTGATGATGTAAATGGAAAAACCATTAATGAAAGATACTCATAATAACAACTCATTCAAAAATCAAAACTACACACAGCTTATAACAACTCTACACTTAATGCTTTCATTCACAGTGATAGTTGCAAGTTTGCACAAGGAATAATATAGTGATATTTGGAATATAGCAATCAATTACCAATTCCATCTTTCCCAAGTGCCAACTTCTTTTTATTGAGTTTATTATCTATGCCTAAAATACTGTACATATTAATATATTATTGTGATTGCAGCCTTGCAGGGCACATGATATCAACAAGAAGTCAGAACCTATGTATGATCATTATAATAAAGGAAGTCAAAAACCTAATTTGTTTAAATAAGCTGACCAACCACAATAATATATTAATTTGGGTCCACATTAGTTCACAAATCAAGAAGGCAACTAGGTAAGGTAAACCAATAATATAACAATCAAAATGGAAATATACATGATACTGCCACTTCGTAAAAGCTCAAACAGTCAAACTCTAGGTAAGGTAAACCAATAACCATAACCAAGAAGGCAACTAGGCAAGAAGTGAAGAAGATTGACTTATTTTAACATACCTTTCAGAACTTGAATGTTGAATCCGTAGCCCACTACCCACCGCAAGTACGCAACTAAAAACCAGGGAGAGGGAAAGCCGAAGAGGGAGAGACGGAGAGGGAGTCGGCCTGTCGCCGTCGCCGATTAGGGTAGCCTGGTCGGAAGAGGAGTAAGCGCCGTCGACTCGTACACTAGGGAGAAAATCGTAGACTACAGATGAGGAAGGAGGATGCGCCGATGCGGTCATGTGAAGTGTGAAGTACGGGGCGGGGCGGGGAGTGCTATACCCGTCCTCGGCCCCATCCCCGGCTTGCGCCAAGCGGGGATCCCCGTCCCCATCCCCGACCGGGATGGGTGGACCGGGTTACCCGACGGGTCGGGGTCCATTACCATCCTTATCTTTATATCTCCAAATCCTCTCCTCTAACAAAAAAAAATTAATTCACTTAGTTAAATATAAGGGTATTTTAATCTTCTTCATATTTTTGTTTTTGATAAATATAATATAAAATATTTTATATTATTATAGAAATGAGGCCTAATCCAATGAGAACTAATTAGTTTGTGGTAACCGTGAGATCCAATCTCAACCACAAATCAATAGATAAATTAGGAAATTTACAATTTTGAATTAAAGTTTTAATGCAAAGACATTTTAGGTATTTTCTCTCCTCTCTCCTCTCTTCTCTCTCCTCTCTTCTCTCTCCGTCCTCCAGTGATACCACAGTGGTATCACAATGCATCTTATATGTACTTGTGTATCAAACTGAGGTCGTTTGTGTGGTTGATCGGAGATGTAACATAGTGGTATCACAATGCATCTTCTATGTGCTTGGGTATCATACTGTGTCCTTTTGTTTAGCAGAGTCAATAGTTTTAGGTATCACAGTGGTATCACCAGAGGCCGAAGGACGGGGGACGAAGAGAGAAGAAATGAGAGAAAATATCTAAAATGTCCTTGCATTAAAATTTTAATTCAAAATTACTAAAATTATTAATTGTTCTAATTTATCTATTGATTTGTGGTTGATATTGGATCTCACGATTACCACAAACTAATCAGTTCTTACTTAAATGAGCTCCTATAGGAACATTTTGTTAAGAACTCATAAAATTATTAAAACCATGAGAAATAGAACATCATGTTTTATATAATTTTTCCCATACAAGGCTATGATTTAGACATTATTTGACAAACATAAGCTAACTTATAAAGTATCTTATTTTCTAGATACATGTTTTCATAATATGTAAGCTAGATTATTAAAATGCTAATTGGAGTAGTTTATAAGAAACTTTTTGTCACTTTTTCAATTATAATCCT